ATAGGGATACGAATCCCGCAAAATGGTGAATTTGCGTTTACGGCTTGCGCCACTTAAGCTTGAACTAAGAAGTATTTGTTTTATTACACCATCTATATTTATTATACAATCATTTCGTATCAATCAATCAACCAATCAAAGTTCTACTAACCTAATAAAGCCTAACTAGATGCATTGAGATTATGCAGGTGCTTCGTCCAAATCTGAAGCAGAACTTGGTGTCCTTAATTCCAGACTCGCGGCTTGCAATAATCAGCCATACAAAGGAAAACCGGCCTTCCGCAGGAGGCCGGCACAGAAAAGAGTCTACTTAATCCAGATCCCAAGCATAGAAACCCCCAGAACATTCCTATGCGAGGCCAGCCACATGGTGCCACCCCGGACAAGATTGACAATGTGACCGTCTATAAGCACAATGGTCCCGATGGCAAGCTGCGAGCATCTAAGCGTGCCTTGGGTCAAGATTCTCATCTATCGGAAGAGAAACTCCAACAACAGGCGCCTACTGAACTGTGGTTTCCCTTCGATAAGGAAGAAAAAGTACCCCCGGAACTGTCGTGGAGCTCAACATTCCTATTTGGCCTACTGGCATGGTCTTCGAGGCGGGTGAGTCGATGCGTCTATACGTCAGCGGTCATGAACATGAGATATCTGACTACAAAGATTTACCACAATTGGTGGGAGATCTCGGCGAGAAATCCTTCAGCGTACACACAAGCGAGCAACATCCTTCGCAGATCCTTCTGCCATTGGTGTTCTAGGGAAACAGGCTAGCGAGGCTAATCTGAAGCCATACTGCGAGTTGATTGACCGTTAAGTTCTTTAAAGTTCTGAATTGAACCAAATTCGATCAATGACTTAGAATCTGCAAAGTAAACTGTACCTGAAATACCCTTAAAGTATACCTTAAATATATATATATTCCATGTTTCGTATACCGTATAAGCCACCTTTATGGCAACACCTTATTATAAAACCAATAAAAGCCATTGGAAATAAGTAGAAGTATAGTTCATGATACTAAATATCCATAAATACGAACGAATTTCACATATATAGCTGTGAGCAGAGATCTCAAACACCAAGACATATCTTGCTACAGTATCCGCTGTACAACGATTCGCGGCGAACCATGCTTGACAAGATCACTCGCACCGATCTTAGCAATACCACTGAGTATGAGGCAATCGTATCTCACCCACGCGCGGCCCGCTACGCCTCTACGATGATACATCAAACTGGTCTCCTTGGTCAGTTCCGACACGAGGAAGTGGAGCCGAACACCGACGATAACCACGAACAGATTGGCCTTGCGGTTATGGGATAAGTTGTGAAGACGCTATGCATATACCACCGAACATCAAGACCGACCACCGAGAATGGTCGACACTCAACTACTACCGATTCACCATACACCACAATCAATGGATAACCGGAGCGATTAGAGACAGGACTGACAAAAGAGAGGCGGGAGCATGCTACGGGGACGAGGGGATGCAGGAGTGGAATAATGTGGATAATATACTCTTGGGTCTGATTTTATATGGGTTTTCTATGGTTGGGATTTGGATTTCGTACACTCTTCTGTGCCGGTCTCCTGCGGAAGGCCGGTTTTCCTTTGTATGACTGTTTACTACAAGCCACGAGTCTGGAGTTAAGGACACCAAGTTCTGTTTCGGATTTGGACGAAGCACCTGCATAGCCTCGACGCATCTAGTTAGACTTTATCGGGTTAATAGGACTTTGATTGATTGATTGATTGGGATCTTCATAATTTATACAATAAAGAACCTTGGAAGAACTACTTACTGTACACTACATTAGAGATAGGCGTGTCAAATTTGATTATACATCTCTTCTAGACTCGGTGGATCAGACGCATGATTCATAATCCACTTTTTGTCATTTTCAGTTTTATGTCACATTCGGCGGAGTTTGATATTCCGATCTGACTCGAAGCGACCTATACAAACCGATAAGGCAAGGGAGAGAAAGTTGCCGGTGCCGGTTCAAAAACTTCCCGGGATCCTATGTTCTAGAAGCTTAGTATCTCCGAGCGAGTAGAAAAACCTTGTCAATTGCACTTCCAGCACCTGCAAATCTATTAGTGCTTTTGTCGTGTACTAATGAACCCAAAAGTGAGCATAAGGCAGCCTGAATATGCCATGATTTGCATAAACCCACATGTCTGGTGGGGCCCATGCCAATTTCACGGGTCGAGTGGATTGGCAGACCCGAAAATCCCCCCTCCCGATTATTTCCTTTATCTACAAGTTTCCCTCCGTTCATTGCTAACTTTTTCGGGAGTTCCATGGCTTTTTCTCAAAGCTTATACGCCACATTTTTAGGCCCGAACATGACGATCATGAAACATTCACAATGTGAAGTGTAACTCTATGCTCATATTACTATTTTTTTCTACTTTTCAATATTGGACCTCTAGTCATGCAATATAAGAATAAATGATTACACGGGCGACGGCCACCCAGCCGAAGCATCTGAATATATACAGTGTAGTACATTGCTGGTTGGGAATAATACCATTACACAAAAGAAATAGTATAAGTACATGGTAAAGGTAAAAAGTGGAGAAGGGGCGTAAAGTTGCACTCAGCACGGGGTAAGAGGTCATTAAGTGGCATATTCAAAAGGCAGTGGTTGGGGATCATAAAATGGCGTCCAATATCCATCAGTTGACAGCTGGCCCTTTGTCAATGGATTGAAAAATATTTCCCAGTCATCGGGATGATTCCCTATGCCAGCGAATAGATCCGAGCTCACGGAATTAGTCTCCGTGGGATACTCGAGCATGGGACTGCTTGTCTGGATGTCATTGTATAACAATCCGGCGTGGCTCGCAGGGTCTGGCATATATGATTGGTCGTATTCGTCCAAATTGCTGCTTGTATGTATTTGGAGTGGAGCATGAATGTTTTCGGCATCGATAAAGTCGGGCACAGATGAGAATGAAAGGGTGTTCTCGGTTTCAATATGTTGGACTTGGTGAACCGTTGGTGAGGGCAAGGTTTTTCTGAGAGCAGTTGGCGGTCCTTGGGCTGGAGTGAAGCTCTGCGGGCTGCCATTGGAAGAATGTGGCCTCTGCTTGTTTTGGTCAGGTTGATCTTGCAGCTTTTGGTGATATGGAGAAGTTGGTTCAGTCATGTGTTCAATCTCTTGAAAGATTGTGCTTCCAGGTTGGTTTAAAGACCCTAGGCGAGAGAGTATATCGTGTACAAGAGGTTGACCATTGGCTTTACAGTTCAACCGCTCTCCAGGCCAGCCATCTCCAGCTTGCACACGTTGATATAATTCTCTAATGCCGTGGATAAGCCAGCCTTGCTGTTCTTCCAAGAAAGTTGTGTATCTAAAACGCAATGAGTCTTTTGCTATGCTGGCATTTGATAAGGTATGTTACTCACCCTTTAGGATACACCTTTTCTCGGTGCCTCTTCCGATCACCAAACATGCAATTGGCATTTTCAGCTTTGCATCTTTGACAAGGACTGGCTGCATCGCACTGAAAACGGTTAGATCAAGGTTTTTATTGAAAGACGCTGCTGTTGCATACCTTTGCCTTCTTCCTTCTACAACGATCACAAGCTTTTTGTACCCTCGAACGAGCACAGTCCTTGGAATAAGGCGAGTCTCTCGACACTGCTGGTTTCGAGACCTGGCGTGGCATAATTATATGAGCAGTATATACAAATTTATGGTTTGTATAAACAGAAAGTTGAATTTCTTTACCGAAGTTAGAACTAGACCGTTTTGTTCTACCTCACTGAATATCGAGTCGATAAGATCGTAGCAAAGAATTTCAGTATGCAAGTTTCCGAGAGGGGACTAGGGATAAAATAATATATATAAGGGAGGTGATGAGATCGTGGCGAGTCGCACCATGGATCGGGTTTTTCTGCGGCTAATACTGAAAGACTGGACTATTCAAACTACTATTAAGGTATGGGTCTGGTGTACCCCTTTTCAGAAATTTTATTTTCCCTTTGGGATGTGGCAATATTACGGCATTGTACTCGCTTGGCAACCAAAATTCGAATATGCAACGGATAAACATTGAAGAGTTTCCAGATACCGGGAGAACATGTCGCAAATTAGAGACTGGTTTTATAACCATTCCAGGAAGCAGAATAGGCGAAGCATATTTCTCACCCCTTCAGAGTAAATGTGACAGCCAGTGATTTTTCTATAAAATAAGATTAAAGACAGGTCCAAAGAAATTGCTTCGTAGAAATGGCGGTGTAACGGTTTCTAGCCATATTTTAGGGCATTGGGAACCTTCTAATCCTTTCTCTTTGCTTATTATTTGCGCGACAAGTCGAATATATTCATCGCAGTGTTGATGAATATGTAATCGGTCTGGAGTAGAATAAATTACATGTGGATGGGGTTTGACCAATCACAGCTGATCCCGAGGAATATTACACCGGACCGTGTAGCATCCGAGCGTAACGAGGTCGTAAATTTTGAAGATCTACCCAACCTTCGGCCCGTGAACATACCGCTGCCGAACCAAATGGCCGGAAACGGTAACTACAGCTGGCCCATAAGAAAGCTTTGGTATGTATCTGTAACTCGCTGACGATTTCTTTATGGTGGATCTACCAGGGCTGAAACACCGGTTTTCGATGCGCGTACATCTCAGGAGAACGGGACAATGGTGCGAGTCGCCCGGATGTGACGCCCCGCCCTGGTTCTTTGTGGTCCCTTGGTCAATATATGTGGGACTAGTGATTTGGACAGGCATTCAAGTGTCTACACAGAATATCCATACTATGTTTAGCTGGTCCATAGGTCGCTCGGGTCGTAAAAATCCCGGCCCTGGAGAATTGATATGAAATGCCGGGTACGGAAGTTAGCGGCTCTGGATTGATCTATCAGCTAGTTTTATAATCAACTACTGTCGATCTCTTAAAAGGCTTAGAGGCCCACCTAGATCCTTTCTGTCCTTCTAGAAATAAACTTGGTGCATTGGAGCTATCTTCATCATGTCGGTCTTGGGCGGAACACCCTTCATGGGTAGTTCGCATCAACAGCGACTAGTGACCGGACACGAGATAAGAGAAACCTATGCTTCATCGGCTACACTCCACAATAATTTTAAGGAGCAGAGTGAGGAGAAGGAGGAACCTGAGGTCGATATGGAGGACAAGGTTGAGGACATGGTGAGGCAACTGACTCGCCACTCCACTCATTTCTCATCGGCGAATGCAAGCAACCCTTTCTTTGAGGAGAACAAGGAAACCTCCTGGCATCCTGACAGTCCTTTCTTCAAGCCGAAAGATTGGATTCGGTCCTTGATCGCTGCTCAGTCGCAGGATCCGGAACGATTCCTTCAACGCTCGGCAGGTGTTGCATTCAAGAGCCTTTCGGTGCATGGTTTTGGAAGTCCCACCGATTATCAAAAGGACGTTTTCAATTCTCTGCTCAGTATCGGTGGCCTCGTCCGCAACCTGGTTGGAAGCGGGAAACAGAAGGTTCAAATTCTCCAGAACTTCAATGGACTGGTCAAAAGTGGAGAAATGCTGGTGGTCCTGGGCCGTCCTGGAAGGTGAGTCGCTCAGCCAGAGTGTGATTTTTGATGGATAGAACAGCTCTAACTCGTTTTTCGTTAGTGGCTGCTCAACATTATTGAAGACGATTGCCGGCGAGATGAACGGTATCTATGTCGACGATAACAGCTATTTGAACTATCAAGGTACGCAAAGACGTCCAACATAGGATGTGATTCGATCAACCAACACATGACAACAGGGATCTCGGCCCCAATGATGCAAAAGCAGTTTCGTGGAGAGGCCATTTTCAGTGCTGAGAATGATGTGCATTTCCCTCAATTGACGGTCGGTGAAACCTTGACATTTGCCGCTACGGCACGTACGCCACGCACCCGTTTCCCCGACTTGTCGAGAAGGCAATACGCCGATCATCTTCGGGACGTGGTGATGACCATGCTAGGTCTCCGGCATACATTTAATACTCGAGTGGGTAACGACTTCGTGCGTGGTGTTAGTGGAGGTGAACGCAAGCGAGTTAGTATTGCAGAGGCTATCCTCAGTGGTGCTCCCCTTCAATGCTGGGACAACAGTACGCGAGGTCTTGACAGTGCGAACGCATTGGAATTCTGCAAAAACCTCCGCTTGATGAGCGATTATGCAGGAACCACGGCCTGCGTTGCGATTTACCAAGCTTCGCAGAGTGCCTACGATGTAAGTTCAGAATATGGAGGCAAATTGACGTGAACTTACTAACATATATCGATTGGGACAGGTGTTTGACAAAGTCGTTGTTCTCTACGAGGGCCAGCAAATCTATTTCGGCCCGACTGGTGAGGCTCGTGACTTCTTTACCAATATGGGCTTCGATTGTCCGGGCCGCCAGACCACCGCCGACTTCCTCACCTCCCTGACTAGTCCCACCGAGCGCAGAGTGAAGCCCGGATACGAAGCAAGAGTGCCTCGCACGTCACAGGAATTTGCCCAGCTCTGGCAAAATAGTCCGGAGTGTGCCCGTCTCCTCCAGGAGATTGACACCTTCGACAAGGAATACCCCATCGGTGGTCAGGCCTTGTCTACTTTCAGTGAAGCTCGCCGTCAGATGCAGTCAAAGCAGCAGTGAGATAAATCACATGATAAATATTCTATGAAAGCGCTGACAATACTTCTTTAGGCGTATCAAATCCCCCCTACACACTCTCGGTTCTCGAACAGATTAATCTTAACGTGAAACGTGGTTTCCTGCGGCTTAAGGCTGACATGTCCCTGTTCTACTCGGCTCTTTTCGGCAATTTTTTTATTTCTCTGATTTTGGGAAGTGTGTTTTACAATCTCGCTTCGGATACATCCAGTTTCTACTCTCGAGAAGTTCTGCTCTTCTACGCCGTTCTTCTCGCTGCGTTTGCCAGTGCTCTCGAGGTATGTCAATACATTCATTATCTAACCCCACTGGAGGCTACAATAGTAAGTCTAACATTATCCTTTTAGATCTTGACTCTCTATGCCCAACGAGCAATTGTGGAAAAGCAATCCCGATATGCCTTCTACCATCCTTTCACGGAAGCGGTCGCGTCCATGTTATGCGATGTACCGTATAAATTGGCAAACTCGTTCACCTTCAATCTTCCTCTCTACTTCATGGCCAACCTCAAGCGTGAGCCAGGAGCCTTTTTCATTTACTGGCTCTTTTCCCTCGTGACCACATTTACCATGTCAATGGTCTTCCGCACTTTTGGTGCCGCATCACGTTCTCTGGCCCAGGCACTGGTCCCTGCTGCTCTCCTCATCTTAGGTCTCGTGATCTACACAGGTTTTATCATTCCTACTAAAGGCATGCTGGGTTGGTCTCGCTGGATGAACTACATTGACCCGATTGCGTACTCGTTCGAAAGTATGATGGTCAATGAGTTCCGCTATAGAGAGTTCGCCTGTTCGGCTTTTGTACCTTCTGGGGAGGGATATGAGAATGTGGACACTATTAACACCATCTGCAGCACCGTCTCATCCACCGCGGGAGACCTCTACGTTAGCGGAGAGGCCTACTTGGAGGTTGCTTATGCTTACACTAACAACCATCTCTGGCGTAACCTGGGTATTATCATCGCGTTCATGATATTCTTCATGTTCGTTTATCTCATTGCGACCGAATACATCACCGAAGCTGCCTCCAAGGGTGAGGTTCTTCTTTTCCGCCGGGGTCGTCAGCCGAAGGCCCAGGCACTCGATTCTGAGACTACCGCAGACGCGACCTACCGCGCGGAAGAGAATTCCGAGGGTGCTGGTACTAAAATCCAGCGACAAACTGCTATCTTTCAGTGGCAGGATCTTTGCTATGATATCAAGATCAAGAATGAGGATCGTCGTATCCTTGACCACGTGAACGGATGGGTTAAACCAGGTACCGCGACCGCATTGATGGTAGGGAATTCTCTTCGCATATTGGGATGGAGTTCGCTAACTATTTACTAGGGTGTTTCTGGCGCAGGAAAAACTACACTTCTTGACGTTCTTGCAACTCGTGTGACTATGGGTGTTGTCACTGGCGATGTCCTCGTTGATGGTCGTCCCCGAGATAGCTCATTCCAGCGCAAAACTGGCTACGTTCAACAGCAGGATGTTCATTTGCCCACCTCTACGGTGCGCGAAGCTTTGGAGTTCAGTGCTTTGCTCAGACAGCCAGCCCATACTAGCCGTCAAGAGAAGCTCGACTATGTTGAAGAAGTCTTGGAATTGCTTGGTATGCAAACATATGCTGACGCTGTGGTTGGTGTCCCGGGTGAAGGTACGTTATGATTCAAATTAAAGCAATATTCCCAATTATTTCCTCAGTTGCTAACAATCTCTAGGATTGAACGTTGAGCAGCGAAAGCGCTTGACTATTGCCGTGGAGTTAGTTGCCCGACCTCAGCTATTGCTTTTCTTGGATGAGCCTACGTCCGGCTTGGACAGTCAAACCTCTTGGTCTATTCTGGATTTGATTGAAACCCTCACCAAACATGGACAAGCTATTCTGTGTACCATCCATCAGCCCTCTGCTATGTTGTTCCAGCGATTCGATAGACTGTTGTTCCTTGCCAAAGGAGGACGCACTGTCTACTTTGGAAAGATCGGTGACAATTCATCGATCTTGGCGGACTATTTTATGCGTAACGGTGGCCATACTCTGACTGATGGTGAAAACCCGGCAGAATGGATGCTTGATGTGATTGGTGCTGCTCCTGGATCTCACACTGATGTCGATTGGCCCGAGGCCTGGAACAAGAGTGCTGAAAGGCAGGCCGTTCTTGATCACCTAGCTGAGCTGAAGTCGTCCCTTTCTCAAAAACAGCCAGAGGGCACCGAATATGGAGAGCATCGCGAGTTTGCTTCTTCGACAAAGGACCAGTTCGTGCAGTGTCTGTCTCGTCTCTTCTCGCAATACTGGCGTACTCCCTCCTATATCTGGTCTAAACTTGTTCTCTCGATTCTCACTGCACTTTACAACGGCTTTTCGTTCTACAACGCAAAGAACACCCAACAAGGACTGCAGAACCAGATGTTCAGCATCTTCATGCTCATGACCATCTTCGGAAACCTTGTTCAACAGATTATGCCTAACTTCATCATCCAACGATCCATCTTCGAAGTTCGTGAACGCCCATCCAAGATGTACTCTTGGAAGGTGTTCATGACCTCCAATATTATTGTTGAGTTGCCTTGGAACTTCCTGGTTGCCGTGTTGATGTTCTTCTGCTGGTACTACCCCGTTGGTTTATACCAAAACGCCGAGCCCACCGATGCCGTCTCTGAGCGTGGTGCGCTTATGTTCCTGTTTTTGTTGGTGTTCCTGTGGTTCACATCTACATTCACTCATATGGTCGTGGCTGGTGTGGAAACTGCGGAAACTGGAGGCAACATCGCCAATTTACTCTTCGCCATTCTGCTCCTATTCTGCGGGTAAGTTATATCGATCCCTGCCTCCTCTTTCTGTTTACTAAAATCTTGGTTTCTAGTGTCATCGCTACCCCACAAGATATGCCCGGATTCTGGATCTTCATGTATCGCCTCTCCCCATTCACGTACCTGGTATCTGGAATGTTATCCACTGCTGTTAGTGGAACGGACGTTACATGTAGTACTGATGAAATTCTCACCTTCAACCCCCCGAGCTCTCAAACCTGCTACCAGTACCTGAACGCTTATGCTGAACGGACTGGTGGATACATCGAGAACCCCAACGCAACGAGCTCATGCTCTTACTGCACCATGTCGTCCACTGACAATTTCCTCACCGGGGTCGACTCCTACTGGAGCGATGCCTGGAGAAACTTTGGAATCATGTGGGCTTACTTGGCGTTCAATATTGTCGTCACCCTTGGAATCTACTGGTGGGCACGTGTTCCTAAGGGAAACAAAACCAAGGGAAGCTCTTAAAAGGTTTGCCCATTTCGTAGTTAGCGGGGACATCGTTTCGTTCTAATGGAACGCGATGTCTTGCATAGAATGCTGACATGCTCATCTTGCAATTTTTTTTCATAGACTCCTTGTTTTCATTTTCTTTAGATAGACTCTCATTCTTTGGATCTTTCCTTTCGTTCCCTACTTGTGCAGGGCCTATCGGTCTCTAAATTCCTTACATTCTTTGCCAGGTTTTATTATCTAGACTCCTTTCCATCATTTCAGAAATACATGCTTTAATCTCTTATGTGATCAATCAATTAATCAAGGTTCTATTAACTTGATAAAGCCTAACTAGATGCGTCGAGGCTATGCAGGCGCTTCGTTCAAAACCGAAGCAGAATTTGGTGTCCTTAACTCCAGACTCGCGGCTTGCGAAAAACAGTAAGTCATAGGAAAACCGAGCTCCCGTAGGAGGCCGGCACAGAAGAGAGTGTACTAAATCCAAAACCCAAGCATAGAAAACCCCATATAAAATCAGACCCAAAAGTACAAAGCCCACAAAATTCCACTCTTCTGCGTCCCCTCGTCCCCGTAGCATGCTCCCGCCTCTCGTTCGTCAGTCCTGTCTCCAAGTGCTTCAGATTCTCAATTGATGATGTTGGCGTTGTGAATCGGTAATGGTTGAGTGCCGACCATTCTCGGTGGTCGGTCTTAATGTTCGGTGGTGTATGCACAGCGTCTTCACAACCTATCCCATGGCCGCAAGGCCAATCTGTTCGTGGTCGTCGTCATCGTCAGTGTCTGGTTCCGCTTCCACGTGTCGGAACTGACTGAGGAGACCAGTTTGAGGCATCATCGCAGCGGCATAGCGGGCCGCGCGCGGGTGAGATACGATTGCATCGTAGTCCGTAGTGTCTCCAAGATCGGTGCGAGCGATCTTGTCGAGCATGGTTCGCCGCAGATCATTGTACAGCGGACACTGGAGCAGGATATGTCTCGGTGTTTGAGAATCCCTGCTCACAGCTACAACGATCTGATTCCCTCTCTTTGATCTTATATAAGAAGTGCCCTAAGCCAATACGCATTGATCTCATCTGGATGAGGATCGAAGCGTACGGCTTGGATAAGCCCTCGTACACCTCCAAAGCCTTGCGACTCGGCGCCTTGATCAGGCGCTCGGTCGGCTTGGCCGTCTTCTCCCTCTCCCATTGTCTCTTCCACCGTTCCTTAATACGCTGGCGGACGCATCGTTTCGCCGCAGAGGCCAGCCGGACAAAGTGTTTCTCCGCTCCCGCGCCCCACAATGCGGCGGATTTTGCAGCCTCGTCTGCAAGTTCATTGCCAAGAACATCCACATGTGCTGGAATCCATCGAAAGGTAATCGATAGGGATATGGGTGCTCCCCGCGACCGAATGGCCCGTACGTGATTGTAAATGCTCTTCAGCACATACTGACCAGACGGTCGCTTTGGGTTCTGCAATGATTTAATTGCAGCTTGGCTGCCAGAGAAGATCACCAGTTCTCTGACTTTGTCCTCCTTTGTCGGTCGTGTTACCAGTTGTCCCAATGCCATCTCAATGCCCGTGAGCTCGGCCACATACACATTGGACTGATCCAATGAGCCAAGATGTCGTTGCATCCAGTCCGTGCTCATTGGATTCACCGCGGATGCACCCACGAGTCCTGCGTATCCACTGCCGTCAGTGAAGATACGCTGGATCGCTCCGTCGGCGAGTGCGGCGTCCAATTCAATACTGTCATGGGTCTGGATAGCGGTTTCCGCATCCTCCATGACGCATTTAATACGTGTCTCCCACGGGGGAGCACGAATGCTGTCCTTGATTCCCACTGTATATCGCGTCCCTTCAGCGGCGCCAATGGGCCGTTCTTCTTCCACTTCATAGCTTCCAGCGGTGTTATCCCTCCAAGTCGTGTTCTCTTCGTTGTTCGTTTGGCCGTGAGGCCCTCGGGTAAGGCCCAGGGTACTCCGGTTTGGATTCTGATTGCTGTTTCCTCGATGGTTTGCTGCATCAGTAGGTTGATCGGTGTAAGAAATAACTCAATGTCGAGGGCTGCAGCCGATGTGCTTTTAAAGGCCCCGCTTATCATCAATGCCGCACGCTTCTGGATTCTTGTAAACCCTCTGACCATGCGTGATTGCTCCGCAGCTGGAATGTTCCTACTTGCGGGACTCCACCACGCCGCTACGCCCCAGAAGAGTTGTGGGATGACTACGGCTCTGTAGATCTGGCGCATCGCAGATAGCGACGTCCCCCACGTGGATCCGGTGATACCGCGGAAAGCTTCGAGGCTGGGGTTGGCCTTCGCAATGACCTTGTCGCGGTGTGTTGAGAAATTAAGGTACTTGTCAAGCCAGACACCGAGGTATATGGCGTAAGATGATGGTGTGATAGTCTGTCCTTGGTCTGGTAGCTTGAGTGGCATCTGGTCGTTCCCTTCTTCCACAAAGTACTCATAGATATCCCTTAGCGCTCGAGGAGGTGTTAAAGGAGGTGCCGGCTCGGTGGGCAGTCGAGGGTTGCTAAAATGAATTAATTCGAATTTGTCTGGTGCGAACTTGGCCGAGTGCCGCTTCGCGGGTGGTGGAGATTGAAGTCCCCCACGATCAGGAACGTAACCCTTTCCTTCTGTTCTCTTGCCGGTGGAATTAACTGCGTGAGCAGTTGCACCGTATCCTCTCCGTTATCTGGTTGATTATATACATTGAATATGCGCAACTCCCTCGCCTCACTCCGGTGCCGTATCCGGAGCTCTTGACAATCCCTGGAGTGCACGATATGTGTCCATCCCTCCATCCGCTTCGATACAAACATACACACCCTTGTCCGCAGTCCTCCCGTTTCGTTCGCCTGAGGATATAATAGTTGATGGCTCTTCTTAGCCGGGTGATGTGTGGTCTCTTGATATGGGTTAGCCCCCGGCTCTTGGATGGCGATGACGCCAGCCTGGAGAACCGTGGGATCACGCATAAACTGTGCCATCATAACGTCTTTCGACCGGTGCGTATTATATTGAATGATGTTTAGCTCCTTATTCATTGCGAGATGAACGGGGTGGCTGTTTCTTGGTTGATCGAGGTTTCTTTGCCTTTTTACTCTTCTCCTTTAGTGAAGATCGATTGCTGAAGCTTGTCGACACGGTGCCTTCGCCGACTGGGATGTCTGTGCCGTGCTTGCGCTTCTTAGGCCGACTGCGGCCTGCCGGTGCAGACTTGGTGGATTTGGCCGTGCTAGAGAAGATTGGTGAGGCGTTTTCCTTCCCTGCGGCCGTATGGGCCTCTCTATTTTTCGATGCGTTGGCGTCTGCCTCGGTAAGTGCTGAGAATGGCCGATAGTCGGTGTCTTGATCGTTGATGCTGGACGAGTCGTCGATGGTAATAGGTAGTTGATCATGTTCCTTCCTCCGTTCCTCATCAAATATTGCCTCCCTATCCCCCTCCTGTCGTTCCAGGCACGCTTTCTTCGTCGCCTCGGCTACCCTCGTGGTCTTGCGGGTCACCCGGGGTGGAAGCCCTCGGGTCAACCTTGCTGTCCTAAAGGACCGCTTGGAAGGCTCGGACTGCGTTTGCGATAGCGCATGGATCGACTGATGAATTGAATCCGTGATGGCCAGGGCCAATGAGATATCTTGTTGTTCTTCAGTGGTGTCCAT